TTATATTAGATAATATCATTTAAAGTATTAAAGGTTTAAATTATTAGGTTACATTATTAGATAATCATTTTAATTTAGAATGGTACAAATTTTTGGGGTCAATTTTCAAAGGATGATATTTATTGGGTTTTTTATTTTCTGATTAGGTAATCGTTTTAATTTTGATAGGTTCAATTTTTATAGTTTTCATTTACTTTTCGTGGTACATAACATAGATTTAATTATCTTTTGATTATAATCTCAGTCCTGCTTTCTAAATTTTTTGAAGTGGAATCTCACTCTAAGGAATAAAAATTGCACCAGTCTTGAAAAAGAACGATTCAATTTTCAATCTTTAAGAATGAAATTTTACTCTTTAAAGTGAAATATATATTCTAAAAATTTTAGAGAACATATTATTATTTTATTAACTTACTGAAATGATTGCGGTCCTTGAACTCTATCCTTCTGCCATGGTGGCATCTCTGGTGGAGGTGGTTCTTGTTCGTATGGTCTACCACCTCTGTCCGGAACCATTCCAATAAGAACGCTGTTGATTTTACTTCGTGTGTTCTTGCGAACACTCGCATTACTTGTTTTCTCAATTATTGCTAGATCATCTCTAGCTGCTAGTAAATCGGCCAGTGTTACTCTTGGTTCATTTTTCAAAGTCTTTCTTCTCTCCTCATATTTATTGTTTATTTCAGTTTCCCTTGACTTTATTCTGTCAGACCACTATAAGAGAAATCGCATAATTTTAAATAAAATGATCATCAAATATATCAGTCTATATGTATAAAGAAATATTTTTAAAACATTTGTTCTTACCAAAAATGATTGAACTGTAACATCAAGACGTTTGAGCAACAACTCACGGCGAATTATATATTCCTTGTGCATTTCTTCTTGCAGCTTACCTAGTTTCTCCCATTGTTTAGCAGAGAGTTCGACATCTATAAGTGGTTTATCTAAATAATTAGGTGGTACAGTCTTTAGAATTTCTAATAATTTAGTTTCTAGTCGTGAAAACAATAATTCAGACGAAATATTATCCGGTGGCTTTTGAAACTTTAGTGTAACCAGCATATTTTTCAAAGTTCTCGCAGTGTCACTTTCATCCTGTAAACATTATATATATATATATATATATATCATTTTATTAAAATCTTTGAAAAAATGTTAGAATAATAACAATTAAAATACTATGTTAAAACTACTTACAATGGTGACTTCTATTTGATTTGTTTCTTTAGGACATTTTACCTCTAATAATTTACAAGCCATAAGCTCTGCCGCTAAAAATTCTATTAGAATAGCTCTTTCAGATTCATTAGCTAGTCTTTGATTCATATGTCCAGTTATCAGTTTCTCATTCATGCACCCTATTTCTTTAAGAAAGAAACTTAATTCTAAAAGGAAGGAACTAGCATCGTCTGAGCTTGCTGTAGCATTAACAGTTTCATCTATATCTATAAATGTCGCCAATTGCTCAGAAAACCAGTTTATAAGACTAGTAAAATCCGGCGATTTTGCGCCAAGTTTTAGAGCATTCGACAGTTTGTTGGTATCAAGCATCGGCCCAGTGTATCTGTAAAATCATTAAAAATTTATTCTTTTGGTAAAAAATCTAAAAGTACAAGTACATTGTCATAATATAAAAATGCTTTAGCCTGAATATCTAAATCTTCAATTATTCACCCAACATCTTGGAACATCTGCAACAGCTTGTCCTCCATATCGACCGTGCGCCTTTCGAGGGTTTCAGATATTACAAAGTAAGATATGTAATAAGTATATATCGTGTATGTATTATTTGGAAATTAATGCAGAGACGCTACGGTTGAAACGTTTCGTCGCTTTGATTTCCCTAATTCCTCGACGTCGATGTTTCAATGCACAGAACCGGGTACCGGTTATGACATAGATTAAATTGCACAATAAGAAGAATCCTAACATTCCTAACAGCTCGGAGACCAATACAACCTGTTTTCAATGGGCGCATTCAGCAGAAAAAAGCGCTACGAGAGCGCTCGCTGTTATTGGTATATTCTTCCAGATTTAAAATTCTGATTGGATGATCTAGAAGAATACACCAATAACAGCGAGCGCTCTCGTAGCGCTCTTTTCTGCTGAATGAGCCCAATGCTTCTTTTAAAGCCGTAATCATACTAGCGATTGCGCGATTGTGATTGACGATTGAGGATTACTTCTCAACCAATCGGAACAAAGCAATCGGCGACTGCTTTGCTCTGATTGGTTGAAAAGTAATCCTCAATCGTCAATCACAATCGCTCAATCGCTAGTGTGATTACGGCTTAAGGCCTCTTTCACCAACGCCGATAAACTTATGGCGAATTCAATTGGATGCACTAGTGCGCACTGAGTGCACCTGAGTTCATTTGTTTTCCTTTTCTCTTCAGGAGAAAGGAAAAGGAAAAAAGATGAACTGGTGCAATCACCTTGCACTGGTGCATCCCAATCGAATTCGTCATTAATCGACGATTAGTCCATTGGAATTGACCAATCGCGCCTGTCGTCAAAACTAAATGGTAAATGCGATTGGTCAATTCCAATGGACTAATCGTCGAATAAGTTAATCGGTGTTTGTGAAAGAGGTCCTTTATGCCTAGTTCACACTAGTGATCCTCTAATAAGAGTCTGGACACGTGAAGTCCGCCATTATTCGTCGAAATTGTGCGAGAGAGAAAAATCATGCTATCTCATTCTAGTGGCGCTGTAAGTTGTAGTTGATTGTAGCTCTAAAAACTTCATAGTTTCTGTTTCTGTTTCGTCTCGCCTCATGCATCGTATCATTTTTAAGACCAGGACCATTAATATTCGAAGAAGAAAAAGAATCATTATGATTAATATTATTATATTATTATATTATATTATTATATTATATATTATTTTATATTATATTATTATATTATTATATTATTATTATATTATTATTATATTATTATTATTATTTATTATTATTAATTATTATTATTATTATTATTATTAATATTATTATATTATTATGATTAATATTATTATTTATATTATTTTTATTATGCGTTAAAGGAATATATGTTTTTGTTATATATGTTAAATATAATAATTACAAAAACATTTTTATTAAATATAAATACTGTATATCTAATATACATAAATAATATGAAATATGCATGAAATATTTTTTTCTGCATAAATATACTACTTTATTTATTCCCTATTGGTGCTACCTAAGTATTTTTTGTTAAGAATTTTAAAGCATTAATTGTATTATTTGTATTTAAATTTAATTTTTATTAAAGTTTCTTAATCTTGTAATATTTTTATAAATTTTATATATTCTTAATATATTAATTTTTATATTTTCAATATATTTATAATACTTACTTAATTGTTGTTTTTATTTTATGAAAGACATATTGCAACGTTTTTTTTACATAAAAGTTTTTATAGAAAATATTTAATAATGTTAATATAAGTTAAATAATAATAAAAATAAAAATTGTAATTGATTTTACTTTAATTTTTACGAATTTATTAATTTTTACAATTTCTAAATTTAAAGAAATTTACGGGAATGGATGATAAATGTCGGACCAATCACAAACCGGGGAGAAGGTGGCCAAACTCTTATTAGAGGGTCACTACAAGCCACTTATTTCGGAGGTCTTCTTCTTTTGGGAAGGTAAAATATTTCAACACTTCTCCAGCTCGGTTAGAGCAGTTCGAGATACAACAATTTGGCATTATTTATATATTTTTCAAATATTATATATTTTACGACCTTCCTTGCAAATACATGCAGTCACGTACAATACATATAAGCCTGTGAGCGTTTTGTTTATCTCCGGTAACAATCCGGTACAACCGTACCTTCGTGTCTCCCGTTCGTACATTTTGGCAAAATTTACCGATTGGTTGAACGAAAATCCACTGCGCATCTCCCTTCGTGCTACACCCATCGACATATAGAATGGACCGCTGATGGCAATGGTGGGGGTAGAAAGACGGATAAAGTGAGAGGCAGAAATAACATGATCGTTCTTTCTCTGTTTACTGATAACTACTGATTACTATTGGTAGCTGTTAATTCAACAACCAATCAGGCTTCAGTAAACAGAGAAAGAACGATCATGTTACTTCTACCTCTCACTTTATCCATCTTTCTACCCCCACCATTGCCATCAGCGGTCCATTCTATATAGCTACACCTTGTTTCCTTATACCTAATTCATACTGGATGCGATGGGCGATGAACGATGAGCGATGTCCAATAAAAGCTTTGCTTTAACCATAGAGATAGTAGTACTAGAGTACGCATTGTCGGAAATTTGAGGAGTGGGGGTAATTCTATCTAGAAAAGGACGCACTTATTTGGAACCGTTTTGTTCTCTTTCGTTTCGCGCATGCGTATAGCCGTATACTCTGAGAGAGGGGATCGAAAGAAAGAATAAGGAATTGAAAGAGCAACCCTTGGGGAAACCTTTAATCTTATCAAAGTCAATTCTTTGTTTGATTACAAAGAGATTAGGCTTGTCCGGTCATGCTTGGAAAGCCAAAAGTTTCTTTCCGCGAGACTTAACTAAACCATGTGAATTTGATTATCTTTATAAGAAACAATCTGGTGGTGCTGGCCAATATGCTCGCATAACTGGAATTATAGAGGTATAAATAATAGATTTTTATCATTAATATTTATTAATATTATTCATCGAGAGCCCTTAACCTTATCAAACTCAATTCTTTGTTTGATTCCAAAGTGATCAGGCTTAATCAGGCTTGTCCGGTCATGTAATGAAACTTTTCTCGTTCGACTCGTTCTTTCTTTCGATCCCCTCTCTCAGAATATATGGCTATACGCATGCGCTAAACGAGAGAGAACGAAAAGGTCCAAATGAGTGCGTCCTTTTCTAGATAGGATTACCCCCACTCCTACAATGCGTACTCTAGTACCACAGTATATACAGTAGCGCAACTCTCTGTCGGCACCTTTGATGTTAGTGAAGCCTAAAATGGAGTGCGCATGCGCGGCCGAGGCGCGTAACCAATCAGGGCACTGTATTCTATCTCACTTCTGCTCTCTGTTTATAACCTTTTCTCTCTTTCTAATTTATGTTCTAGCAATGTCCTAACCTAATTTGCACATTTGAATACGCGTACTAACAAGTAACTTTTATAAAATTATCTTAATTTATTTCATTATTCACAGCGAATACAGAAATCTATAGTTCTCGTTTACACTATATAGATATTTAATACTCACAGTGAAAAACGAGACGCATTTGAAAGAGAAAATAAAATAAAAATTAAACATATATAATGCACATTTATTTTATAACACTATATTTTGCAATTAAATATACCCACAAAATATATTATTATTAACTAATTGTACAGCAATATTGTATGTATAGCATATATCTTGTGTATACAATATAATATATACGCAATTAGAACAGAAAGTCACAATAAAGTCAAAATGACATTAGAATGATTGAAAAATGACTTTTAATGATCATTTTGGAACAATTTTAACATCATTTTGATACAATGATGACTTGTTTTGTTTGGATATATAATTAATGTGGTATTTCATATTTTGAAATATCATATGGCTCGAATAAAATTACTTATATTTATTATATTTTTTTCATATTGAATATAGTAACCGCAGATATTAGGAAATGCAAGAATATTCTCTCTCTCTCTCTCTCTCTCTCTCTCTCTCTCTCTCTCTCTCTCAATTTTGTTGGTACTGCATCCGGATGAAGAATAGCTCTACTCTTGCTTATATTGTACCACTTTTCTTCAAAATGTAAGTGGCACAATCTATAAATGCGATGGGCATATTCTGCTCCACTTGCTTCTAAATCTAATCTTTCACACGCACGTATCCATTGCAACCATCTATATAAATATTATTATATTGGTTATTGTAAATACAAATAAAATATAGATAAAAAAATAATAGATATATATATCTACACATATACATATATATATGTTATATATATGTTATATATATGTTATGGTATATATATATGTGTTGTATACAGAAATTAAAAAATATTGAATATTCCAAATATACATATGTTAATATATAGCATAATATACAATAAATTCGTATGTGTTTTAGAAAATAAATGAAATAAAAAGTTGTACCTGTCATGTTCCTTTGGAAACCGAAAAAAGTGTCGTTTTTCCACAATATTTTTATTACAGTCGTCCTTTACGACACACCATCCGCTTGATTTTTGAGCACACATTTTTTTCGCCTTTTAAAATCTCTCCAAATATCTGTAACAGAAAGCTAAGATCAAAGTGCTTCAAGAGAATTTGAAATCTGTACTATTTTTGTACAGATAACCTATTCTCCGTAAAGCTAACTCGGTCTACGTTCTCTGTTTTTTTACACTTTCTTAAACACGTCTGAATACACTGAATAATTATTAAAATTAAACACGTATCACTTATCACTTTATCACACGTAGCACTATTCTCACTGTTTCTCACATAAAATTCGTCGCGTTCCCGCCACTTTCCGTCAAATGGTCCTTTAAATGCCTTATATGGACATTTCAATGGGACTGACAGACACCGACAATAGAAAGAAGAAGTGAGATAGAATACAGTGCCCTGATTGGTTACGCGCCTCGGCCGCGCATGCGCACTTCATTTTAGGCTTCACAAAATCAGGAGAGTTGCGCTACTGTATATACTGTGCTAGTACTACCAGAGAGAAACCTGAGAGCGGCCATGGAGGCCTTTTTCTTGTAATGCTTCTAACTCCCCGTACACTAGCGGCACCAACGTCTATTTTCGAACTGCGGGAACTACGTACCACGTCCATTTTCGTGAACCGCTGTCTCGCCGATAAAATCGTATCTTCGAAAGTAGACGTGGTTCGGGTCCGTGTTAAATCAGG